GCCAGGGTTCAGTTGATTTCTACGCTGCCCTTTGGCCATAAGGGGCCCACAAGGTGGCTTACAGAGTCATAAAAATAATGTAAACATCAATTGTAAAATTAATATATAAACATAAGAACATAAGAAGTGCCTTGCTTGATCAGACTAGAGGCCCATCTCGTCCATCGTGCTTTTCTCCCAGTGGCAAACCTGGTGTCTATGGGAAGCCAAGAAGGTAGGGACCTGTTATAAACAAATACAAAAGAGGCTAGATATTCAAATGACATATATTTATTGATCAAATCCTTTGTTGCCGTATCATAGGTCTGCCTGCTCCCAGCCCTTCCAGTTTGGGAACAAGTAATGGATTAGAAATGTATTCCTCATGCAAGGTCATTTTCAAAGCGCTCTTCAAACAGGTATGTGGTCTTCAGCATCATTTTTCCCAACTTCTTGTTGTTGTCAAGCAACATATTTGATAGTTATGAAACTGAGGAAATAATATCACTGGCTAAGTCCAGACAGAGAGGTCCCCCAATTGCGTTGATATGGGCCGTGATAAAAAATCAAGTGGGCTGGATCCAGGGCAGTGTAAGCAGACTACTTTGAAGTATAACAGCAAAGAGCCTTCACAAGCAGATACTTGAGTGTTTTTCCAAAACAAATGCTTTGACAAGCGTTTGTTAAGAATTACAGTGAACGCTGACATAATGCCCTACAGTCATGTGTCCAAAAACATAACTGAGCATATGCAGCTGTCTTAGTTAAACTGCTGCTCAATTTAGCCCAGCATTTTGTCTCCTCCGATTGGCAGCCGTTTTCCAAAGTCTCAAGGCAGGAGGCCCCCTTTCAGTCCTGCTACTTGAAAGCCTTTGCACTGAATATTCTCAGGACTCGCTGCATGCAAAGTCAATATGAGATGTAAGCCCTCCCCTTCATGTCAAAGTGTACCTTGTATGCATGCAGTGGGAAGCAAACCACTCTATTGCACATTAAAAGGTAAAGGACCCCTGACAGTTAAGTCCAGTTGCAAAAGACTCTGGGGTTGCGGCGCTCATCACGCTTTATTGGCCGAGGGAGACGGGTACAGCTTCCGGGTCATGTGGCTAGCATGGCTAAGCCACTTCTGGAGAAACCAGAGCAGCGCACAGAAATGCCGTTTACCTTCCCTCCGGAGCGGTACCTATTTATCTACTTGCACTTTGACGGGCTCTCAAACTGCTAGGTTGGCAGGAGCTGGGACCAAGCAATGGGAGCTCACCTCGTCGCGAGGATTCAAACCGCCAACCTTCCGATTGGCAAGCCCTAGGCGCAGTGGTTTAGACCACAGCGCCACCCGCGTCCCATATTGCACATTATCTTTCCAGAAAAGCCAATGCAAAGTGTGTTCCCTTGCAAAGACGCAAGGAAGCCTGTGTCTGGACAGTCAGACTATTCCCCTTTATAGTTTTAGGTGGCAGGCAAGAGCCGTTCTCTGTATTTCAGTATTCCACTTGATAACTGAATGGTGGCTTCTTTGTGACTCTGCTGATTTTAAGAACAAGATAATAGTGCCTCCAACCAGATGCAGAACCTCAAATAAAATTTGAGGGATTTTAAACCTCCATTAATTGGGTATAAAAGCATGGGCAAGCAAAATACCTAAGAATGTACAGTGGTGCCTCGCAAGACAAAATTAATTTGTTCTGCGAGTTTTTTCGTCTTGCGAATTTTTCATCTTGTGAAGCACGGTTTCCCATAGGAATGCATTGAAAATCAATTAATGCGTTCCTATGGTCAAAAAAAGTCCAAACCAAGCCAAATTTGGTACAAAATTGCCTTGGAGGTACTTAAGAAGCAGGAAGTGGCTCAGGATACGGCACTCAAAAACAAGAGCGCAGGACAACAGATGCATTGCTATTAGTCATAGGGAACCTCCAGTGTCAGGTGCAGTATATGCCGCCAGGTATTGACTAGGAAGTAAATAGCTCTTGCCTTCCTGCTGTGCATCTGGGAAGCGTCTGCTTAGCCACACTGGAATGCAGGATGGCAGAGTGCGTTGGACTTTGGGCCGATGCAGCAGGGCTCTTAATAATGGTAACGTTAATAGCAACAGCACAAACTTCTTACTCTTATCAGCACAGAACACCTAGCCAAGGAGGACCAAAATTGAGAAGATCCATAATTGGTGTAGGACTGTAAATTATTTGATGTGTTAATGATTATTTGAATTATTTGATGTGTTAATGCAAATTGAAGTCGTTAAAATTGCAGCTGCGGTACTGTAAAAGGAAACAAACTTGCAAGATGTTTTCGTCTTGCGAAGCAAGCCCATAGGGAAATTCGTCTTGCGAAGCAACTCAAAAAACGAAAAACTCTTTCGTCTTGTGAGTTTTTCGTCTTGCAAGGCATTCGTCTTGCGAGGTACCACTGTATGAGATTTGACCATCAACAGCTTTTGTCTCACAGAAGTCTCAAAGAAACGGAGAGCAGCAGTCTCCTTATTCGTCTGATAAACAGCCTACTTAACGTATTGTCGGGGGTCCTCCCCATCTCCTGCTCATGTAAGTACCTCACCCCTTTCCTGGTACCTCTCAGGTCCTATCATGGCTGGAAATTTCCAAGATCACATCACATGCTTGTGCAACAGCGGCAGGAATAATCACAAGCCGCACACATTTTGTGGGATGATAGTGCAGGTAAGCATGGCTGGCAATGGCATTAGGGAAAGCATTTGACTCCATTCTAATCAGCCCTTGCTGCTGGAATGTGAATTCCAATTGGTTGGGAAGCACCCAAAGCCCCCTTTCAGAGATGGCCAGTGTTAGATCCTGACACGGTGCAGGCCAGGCATCAGGGATCTGGTGAGGGATTGCTGCAATGTCAGGCCTCTCCAGAAGTAGGGACCCAGCTTGCACATTCTCCCTCCCTCACGGGACCTCCAGGCTTTCTGTCCAAGTCCCCTCCCCCTATATTTGTTAACAGGCATTGCTGTCAGGTGATGGTGCACGAGATATTGGAAGGTATACAGATGAACAAGCTCTTGATAATACTGTGAGGCCAGAGCAGTTCAAGGGATTGTGCTGGTACAGTATTTGTCATAAGGCAACAGTCCTTTGATCTCAGTTTCTGCTGGGTGGTCCACTGCTGTCAGTGCATAGCTGTTGCAAGTTGGGGGTTAAGGTGCTGAGCTATGCTTTTGGAATTTGTCTCACTCCCCAATAAGTTAAATATTTGCCAGCAGCTCCTCTACTAAAATTCATTCCTGAAACGAAATCTGACTTCACAGACCAGGAAAGAGAATGTGGAGCATACATTATAAGCCTCAAAAGGAATCTCCAAAGAAAATTACAGAAATTTGCTAAACCATATTATATATTTGTTGGTTAATTAGGAGAGCAAGACTATTTTACTTCATGTGTTATCCCACATCTCCCCGGTTTGAAGCAGGTTACACAACAAGCAAGCAGTAACATGGTTTAAAACTAAAACTTAGAATTAGGCAAATTATGCAGCACCTGCTTTGAGAGTTTTCTTTTACACTTGAGCGGTATTTTGTGAAATCAAATAATAAAATAAACAAATAATCACATAGCAACTAGAAGGGGCCATTCTGACAACAGAAAGGTGTTGGGCACTAGATGGATCTAGCACTTTCCCCTGAGAATCAAATACTAAGAGAAAGTCATACTGTTACAAAAGTCCTTCCTATTCCCTCAGCCGTTGTTATTCCTTCAGCTGAAGAGAGCCTAAGGCAGGGATGGTGAGGTTGTGGCCCTCAGGGATGAAGGCAGTTGCTATCCAACAACATCTTGAAAGTCACAGCTTTCCCATCCCTGGTCTATGAAAAACTGTAGTACCGTATCATTGCACACATCCAGGGGAAGGAGGATCTCTTACATAAATAATAATAATAATAATAATAATAATAATAATAATAATAAATTTTCTTTATACCCCACCCTCCCCAGCCAAGACCAGGCGCAGGGTAGCTAACACCAGATATAAACACAATTGATTAAAATACAACTTAAAAACTAGATTAAAGTACAACATTAAAATTATATCTTGATATAAACCACACTCTCTGTTGTACTCGCATAAAGAAAGAGCCTGAGACACACAATTGGTTCATTAATGGCATAATGCAATGCTTAATTCCCTGCTTTACATCTTGCCTGGGTTTGACCTCACTAGGTCAGCTCAGATAAACCACTCTCTCAATCTGAGCCTTATCCAACATGGGAATTATAATACTGATCTACCTTACAAGGTTCTTGAAAAGATTACACAAAGATAAGATATGCAAAGCACTTCAAACATTCAAAAATGCTACATAAATGTGAAATATTATTATAAGTAGCAACTGAAACCTTTTTAATGTCCATAGTACAAACCTATGAGGCAAATTCTCCTCCCCACCACTTCCTTTCTTACAGTCTTTATGCTTATCCTCAAGAAGATTTGATTTCTTTTATTGCTGCATTGATTCACACTAGGGATTTTAAAGCCCCCTTTTAATTTTAAGGAGAATTACATTTGGCTGTTTCAAAAATGGCTTTGCCCTTGGTTTGCAGTTGTCATTTATTCCAGCGTTGTGAGTTTGGGGGGTGGGGAGAGGGGTTAGGCTGTATGCCTGAGTCCCTTCTAATTCCTGGATCCAGCAAGGATTCAATCGTTGGACTTGCCAGGCCAGCCTCTTGGTGATGGCCCCCTAAGTATAGGTTGTTAGGGTAGCACAGGATGTGGCTCTTTGTCAGAGGGCAAAAAGTTGCCCCCTCCCTCAACTGGCTGGTAGTTAGAAGGACAAAAGGGAGAGCTAAGTTGTGTGAGAGCTGGGCTAGAGGCACAAGCGTAGCTGTCAACTTTCAGATTTGAAAATAAGGGATCAGCAGCCTCACCTGTCCCAGGGACAGTCTACGGGATATCTAACAATCCAGGATAGCAGCGGGAAATGGCGCTGGAATAAGGGAATTCCCCGCAAAAAAAGGGAAGGTTGACAGCTATGAGCACAAGGCAGGCAGAAGGAGGAAGGAGAGACATGCTTGATTTCTGCTGGAATCCAAGGCTATGGCTATGGGAGAAGCAAGACTTTCTGCTCATACGTTGCTGGCACTGAAGAAGGAATATGAGCATGTGAACTTCTTACCCAGAGATCTGCTGTGTTAGTGTGTTGCCTGCTGAACACGCTAGTTGGTTTTCAAGCTATTTTAACAATAACAAAAATTAAGGCTCCATGTTTGGGCTGCTGAATACAAACTGTTTTATTAACTGGGTTTTGCACTGCTCCGTGGTTGGGAAGAGAGGGAAGGGGAAGCTTAGAGGCTGGGTTGCACTTCAAAGGAGAGGGCACAATTAATTCAGTGTGCCTGAAGACAACACATCTGGGATCATTGAAAATGGAGAACAATTTGGTTTGAAGCAGTAAGTCACGTTGCTTAAGTGCTTTGTCATGAAGAGAATCCCTTCCAAAACTGCGTACATGGGAAACGGCAGAGTTGGATTAAAAGGAGAGCCAAGGGAATATGTAAGGAGTATGCAAAACTGCAGTGTCCCGTCAAACAGGTCATCTCTTAGCCCCATGGCCCACCCACAACTTGAAATCATTCTTCAGCTCTGGATCCACAAAGGCCAGCTGCCCAGACTGACCACAAAGAATGCACTGGTGGGCCAGAGATTCTGGTTTGATTAAGGGAAAGATAGCAAAGTCTACTTATCACATTTGCACCTCACTCATTGTCCAGAGAGCTCAGGGTTAGTGTACATGGGATTTTGGCAGGCCCAGCTCCAGTCAAACTGGGACGAAAAAAGAGGTGAAATGAGGCAAGCGCCAGTGGCAGCAAGAGGAAGGCTTGGACATCAGGGAGCAGTCAAATCTAAATCTTCATTGTTTACCCAAAGACCTCCAGTGGTGGAGTCAGATAGTATGACCCAGTCTTCGTTAAACTGTGCATTATGCTAAGTGTGTGCTGTGCATCTGCATATAAATATTCTTAAATCTCACTGCGCACCAGGAGGGAAAAGTTAAACCTTCCACTGCAGCCCCAGTGATACAAGTTGAGTCCTGCAGGGTCAGGCCAAAGTCCCATCCAGTGCAGCCCCTGGTCCTCCCAAGCAGCACCCAAACTCAGCAGCAGCTGCCGCCTGCCCACCTGCAGATCACAGCAAATGTTTGCTCAGAGGAGCAAACCTCCTCCTGTGGAGATAGGATGCAGCCCTGAAAAAGGGTTCCTCACCCCCACCTGAGCTGAAGCAAATGAGGGCGGGGGGTGTGTGTGTTGCCCCTGTAATTAAATAAAGGAAGAACTCAGTTTTGTTATGTAATTAACAGAATGTCTACTTTAGCCCAAGAAGTGCCTTTGCAGGCCTGGCTGCTTTCCATACATTGCCGTCCTCTTTTCTCCAGACGTGCCCAAATGTTGTTAGCTCCCACCTTAGGTATGCCTCTAATGGGCACACCTTCTGTCACTCAGCAGTGCCGCAGCGCTCATTGGCTCATACCTACCTATGTCCCACCCTCCGTCATCATTGGATCTGGTCTCTCCCGCCTGCCGGGTTGCTTTGCTCTGGTTATCAGCTGTTAGTACAGCTCAAGGGAGGAAATTTATGGGTATGTAGTATCAAATGCAGGTCTAGCTTGGCTGCAAAAATGCACTATGCATGTGTCAACATCCAACATCGGTTCATGTCCTTGGAATCATTGTTGTACCTTGATGGTAAAATGGGATGTTTTCAGGAGAGATCAATGTTGGTTGTGTTGCTTAGTGTAATGGTTTTGGGGTTGTTCTTTTAGTGTGTTTGTATCTGGGACAAATTGCATTTATTTGCTTCAAATGGCACATTGATTGAAAACTGCTTTTGAAAACTCTGGCTATACATTCTGGAGGAGACTTAGACATAACTGGTGGTTGAAGACTTGCTTCCTCTTCTCTTCTCCTGCCCCGCCCAGTAATTTATCACAGCTTCTATGGCCTACATATATTAGGGATATTTAAAATGAGAGTCATCATAGCATCGTCTTTTTTGCTCTTCGAAATATGGCAACCCTACAGTACCCTCCACCTCATTTAGCTTAAGCTGGTATGTGGCATACAGGTTAATAATAGTTTAGAAAATTTTATTTATTATTGTTTAGTGATATATAAATCTTGCTTAAAACAATATACATTTCCTCTTTAATGGAGGAGGCATGGACGTGGGTATGAGGGTGAAAACCCAGCTGCAAATCAGGGCTGCGGAACAGAAATTGGCAATGGCTTCAGAAATAGGGTTGGGAAGGTGAAAAGTGAACTTCGCAGTTGCATTGGGTCGGGAGGGAAAGCTGTGGGGGCTAATGTGGGGGCGGGAATGGCAGAGGGGCTGGTGAGTGAAGTTAGCAGGGGTGCAGCCCCTAGTAATAAAATACATAAATGCATACTTGCAAGCAAATCACATGAAACAAAATGGAACTTACTTCTGAGCAGACATGTATGAGATTGCATTGTTAGAGACAGGTATGTCTCTAGAATATGGTGAAACAAATTCCCAGTGTGAAAGTGACAACCTTAACGCAGTCTGGAGGAGACAGGTAGGGGGTACTTAAATATACCATTTGCAGCCATAATTTTGCACAAGTACACAGGTTTGCGGATCAGATGACTCTGCTTCTAAGAGCCTGGCAAAAGTTGGAATAAATAAATTCTTGAAACAACTGGAAGAGCGCTGGAGAACAATGAATGTGGATCATCTGCAAAAAAGCAAGTAAACAAAGTGGCAATCACAGAGTAAACAGAGTGTGGAAGCACCCAAGGAACGAGTTTTACTTAAGGTAAAAGAAGGAAAACCACATATGCAACTTCAATGCACAGTCAAGTCTCAGATTGTTTTCTGCAGACAGAAACTCGTTTTCCAAGGGGCAACATCGGAGGCTGCTTTTTCCCAGAGCAATCAGCCAGTTATATAGGCACGGTGCACATGTGGGAGCCATATATGTGATGAACTGCAGGACTGTGTGATAAACTGTATTTAGCTTGCTCCTTTCAGTTCCTCATTTGACCTCTGCCCACTCCACTGCTTCCCCAGGCATTCTTTCTAACATTCCTGCCCCTTGGGTGGTTTCAAGCAGCTACTATTAAAGCAACACACATCAGGCACCAGAGAAATGTTTCCTCCTTGAGCTGACTTTGGCAGAAAGCAAAGGCACTTCAGGGCAGATTTGAGAAACTAATACTGCGAAAAACCTTAAGCTGTATGGGCATTTATTTTTGCTGTTAATTAAGAACGCCACTCAACAAGTGTTGGAGGATGTCTTTACATGCAAAGTCTTAACAATCATCAGGCTGTGAGTGAACAAACACTCCCATCAAATGTATAAATGGTCTCTGACTCCCATTTCTATGATTGGACTCTGTCACTGCATGTGTGTCGGTGCCAGGATGCTAGTCCCTATGTTTAAGGTGTTATGCTCCAGGCCATACTTGCGCAATTCCCTTTTTGTGCTCTCTCTGCTCCCTTCCAATGCATCTTCTGTCACTCTCACTTTCTTCCCTTCTCCCAGTATCAAGCCTGTGCCTTTAGTAGGGATGGGGAACAAATTAATTTCAGTTCACAATCAAAGGCGAACTTACCAATTCACACTTTTTGAAACAAAATACAAACCAAAACACACCCATCAAAATTCGCACTTACAATGCTGTTCTTCGGCCAAGGGTTAAAACGTATATATTAGTGAAAAGAACATACAAAAATGGATTATGTTGGGGAAATGGGTATATTTGTCATAATTTCATGTAAAAATACGTTTATTAGGAGAAATTTGCATCAAATGCTGATGCATTTTCATGAGGATTTTTTTAAAGAGCCCAACAAATCATAAATTGTTGTGGAAATGTGGGAAAATGATTAGAAAAATGAGAACGGAAATTGTCAGATTCTCCCATCCCTACTCTTTAGTTCATGCTCAAGTGCTTGTGTGCATACACCTTTCATGATAATTAACATGAGTATATCTGGACTGCAGGATCATGCACCTTTGATATCCATGTCAGTGAGGCTGCCCTGCAGGTGCTTGAAATAGGGCCTTCTCGACTGTGGCTCCATAATTATGGCACTCAATTCCTTCTGAGATTAGACAAGCTGCTTGCTTATGTCAATTAAGTAGATCATTAAAGGCCATTCTTTCACTATGGCCTTCAATGGTTAATATAAACTGGGAGTACAAACTATGGCTGTTACACTGGTTTTATTATGAAAGAGATATTTTTAAATGCTTTTATATTGTATTTTGATTTGTATTTGTACATATGTTAGCTGCTTTGTGGCATATGTTTTCAAAAGGAATTATAAATCCTTTAAACATATCTATTCAATAAACAAATAATTTCTGCACATTTGAATGAATTCTTAGCTTGTCCCTAAACCCAATGCAGAATTTGAAGTTTCCTGCTAAGAAATTGTACAGGAAGGAGAAGGCCCTTGAAAGTTTGTAGCACTTTTGCAGAAAGGTGGGGTATAAATTAATAACAATGAATAGTAATGAGTATGTCATGGCTTTTGGTTCTTGTGATGTAGTTCAGGGGTCCAGTGGCGTAGCGTGGGTTGTCAGCACCCGGGGCAAGGCAAGTAATTTGCGCCCCCTAACCCGTGGATTTTAGCACTCGAGTCTCTTCCACTAGATTAGCGCCCCCCCAGATGTTGCGCCCGGTGCGGCCGGCCCCCCCTGCACCCCCCACGCTACGCCACTGCAGGGGTCCTCTGTGCCCTGAAGTACCAGGGGGATTGTGGATTGACACATTCCAAGCAAAATCTGAAAAATGAAATGTGCAAGGTGATGGGAAATGAGGCATCATACTAGCAACACTGGAAGGCTCAAGTGCTCAAGAAGCTTGTCAGTACATTTTTAACATGCTACTCTCTGCGGTTTTGGAAGAATTGCAAATGTTTGCTGTGATGACATTTTCATTAATGAGCTTCCACTTTGCTCACAAGGGAATATAAACCAGTTGTCCCCAGTGGAACACACACACACACACACACACACACACACACACACACCATGAATGCAAGGCATTTGCAATAAGCACTTACAGCCCAATCCTATGCACATTTACCTGGAAGTAATTCCTATTTTGTTCAATGGGATTTCCCCCTCAGTCATTGTGAAAGAATCACAGGCTTGAACAACGTTATGCATTCTTCATGATGACATTTCAAATTGAAAACCTACATATGCTAGAGTGTACACTTCGCTTTCTGAACTCTCAAGATTGCCTTCTGTCTTCTGCTTTATTAACCGTACTCTTGTGGGAGTCTGTCCATCACCATGGTTAGTTACTATTACTTACAGCTGCAGCAGCAACAATAGATGTAGTTGTACAGCACTTAAAGAAGTGCTTCAAATGTTAGTCCCTGTCTGAATCAACGGCAAGGGTATCCAACATGGTGCCCTCTAGATGTTGTTGAATTATAGCTCCTATTGTCCCTTGCCCATGGCCATGTTGGCTGAGGCTGATGGGAACTAGAATCCTTCAACAGCTGGAGGCACCATGTTGGCTACCCTGATGTATTCACACAATGCAGCCAGGGCAGGTGTAGATCTACTATGAAACTAACTAAACTTTTGTCCACATTGCTTATTTTTTTGGGGGGGGGGGTCCAGAAGACCTAGTTTGAGTCACTTTGATTTTAGTCAAAATGATTACTTTTTTTGTTTTATATGTTTAAACAATCCCAAAGTTTGTCAGTCTGTAGCACAGATGTTGTAAAGGTGTGATCTGTTGTGGAACAACCCCATTGAGGAAGATAGCAGTGGTTACCCAGACCTCATTGCTGGTTGCAAAGAAGCCCCCGTAACAGTTGAAGCTTCAGGGCCCATGCAGGTTGTTTCAAGCTGAAACTATGCCGCTGCTTTAACTCTTTCACCATAAGCCATACAGCAGACTTCAAGTTCAACACCACAAGTCAACACTCCATTCCTCAGACGTTTTTAAAGCAAAGACAACATGAGAGAGAAATTGTTCTGAGAGGTTTCTGAGACCCCCTTGTTCTGAGACCTGGAACCATATCCCGTTCCCTTAAAACATTCAAAAATCACACAAAAAGTAATGGTCACTGAATGTTTTTTGACTAGCTGGAAGATGTCCTTTGACGTTGATAATGATCTTTGCTTGCTTGTATGGAGGATAGAGAGGGTGGAGTGAGTGTGGAGAAACAAGCCAAGGGTACATGGGTAAAAACTACATCTGTTGCCCTGTCCACTTTTGCCTCTGGTTCCACCGACCACAGACATATGGCCTCAGAAAGTTGTCCAGGAGGGAATGTGGTCCTTGGGCTGCAGAAGGTCCCCCACCCCAGTTCTAAAGAAAAGGGAACACAAGTAACCCAGAAGATGACGGACCCCATTATGCATTTTTCTCCTCTTGGGAACAGCAGTTCAAAGCTACACAGTGAAGACACTGTGACCCTCAGGCTGCAGTCCTTGGGAGTCAGCCTCGTTGAGGTCAGAGGGCATCGCTTCCAGATAAAATGCATAGGCTCAAGTTATAAGTCATATTGCTATTGTGCAGAAATATGTAAATATGTCAGTATTTCTCTGAAAATTCTTACTAGCTGCACAGTACATAAGCTAAACTTGCTTACTGTGGAGGTTGCATAAAACACAAATGAGAATTCTGGAGGCAGAGGGCTTTTTCAGTTGGGGGTGGTCTGACTAAGACATGACTAAGATTAATATAGGGGAAAGTATAGTAAGCAGTAGCACACCCCAGTGTTTCTGCAAACAACTGGCACGATGTAACTTTTAGAAAGTCAAGTGACTAATATAGGCATCACTAACAACTTTGCGTGGCATGGATTTTCCAGCCTTTTATATTTATAGTGTGTAGGCTTAACATGATGAAAAGTTCTATGAAAAGCTATTGAGTGAGCTGGGGAAGCAGCAGCAAA